TGTGTGTGTGTGTAATGGTGGGTTTTTGTGTAAAGGAAAAGAGGTGTGTGTGTGGCTGTGTGTGCTCTAGGAGGGGGATCTGGCCGACAGATTGAGAGCAGCTTGTTAGAAAGAGGAACAATGAGGCCACAGCCCCTCTCCTATCTTCTTTTTTTCCTTCCTTTCCTGTGTTCCCTTTCTCTCTTTCACTCTTCTCTGTTATTTCCTTCTGCTTTCAAAACAGATTCTCTCTTCTTCTCTATGTATGTCTTGACTTTTTCACTTGCCAGCCTCGCCTGTATTATCTGTCCATTTTTACATTCCATCCATCTTATCTATTTTCCTTCAACTTATCCTCCCTATTGAACTCCCCTCTCTCACACTTTCCTTTCCTCCTCATTCCTCAGTATTTGCTCGCCTCTGTTCTCTCAATATTTTCACCTGCTAAAACACCTTCCACGTATCGTTTCTGTCACTTTCTCGTTGTCAGAACATTTCACACGGTCACTTATCTACACACTCGTGGACGTGCATGTATAGACCGTAGGTGCTGGCGCGCTCCTCTGATCTCGTCGTGCCAACATGCAAATGCTTTGAACATCTTTTGCACACCCACATGGCATTCTTTTTGGCATTGGAGTTGAGTGATGTTGTTATTAACTTGTTCATTAAACATCATTAATGCGTGACAGACATCGTTGATTTGTAGGACATCAACATGTGAGATGTGTGTCGTTGTTTTTTTTAATCCAAATTAATCATTACTGCTGTCATTCAGTGCTACCCACATGTGTGCCTACTGTCTTTGAACTCAGCTTTAAGGCTGTTTTGTTGAGCTGTGTAGTCATTTTCTACTGTGCATCATTTTTAGCAGTGTCCTTTTGTGTAAATATTGTAACATAAATTCACAAAATCATCTTTGTACACAGGGTTTTCAGACGTTTTGAGCCAGGTAGTTTTAAGCTGATATAGCTCCACTGAAGTATCTTTCGTAGTCGACGGGAAATTATTACGAGACGTGCATAAGAGGGAAGGGACTGGACAAGCACAGGTAAATGTCGCAGAACTATGTGGGAAATACTAATAATAATAGGAGCTGACCAAGATGGAAGGAAAACTCTGCTCTACTATTTCACTGTCCAGTCTGGTTAGCCTTAGTTATTCACAAAAAGGCTATGTCCAGTGTTGTAATGAACATACCTGCAAGGAGGAATGTCTAAAAAATACAGAGCTATATTTCTTGACTCATATTTCTTCCAAGTTGCACAAGGAAGTTGAGCATATTATAATAAATCCCCCGTGAGCCAGACAGGGGAGGCAAGCGGAGCTATATGACTACCAGTTAAGGATGCACATTAGAGAAAAAGTAGTTGCCCTCCTGGGGAAAATGCTACAGCAGAGCCAACTCAGAAAGTGGGTGGCACAGGTTGGCAAGTTCTATCTGCAGTCTGCTGGAGTTTGAGAAAAGTGCAGCTGGATTTGAAGAGTGTCCACTCCACTTAAAGCTCTTACACAAATCTTGAGAAATTTCTATCAGCAAATGTTACAAATCTGTAAATAGAAACTTAATCTGTATTTTATAGCCACCACAAATGAATTAATGTTACAGGCTTCTTTTCCGAACTCTAGATTGTAAAATGTTAGGTAATACTCTCTGCTATCAGGGGTTGTTATCAGATCAAGCAATCCTGCTTGGCATAGAATCTAACTTTGTCCTCCCACAGTCTTCCCTTTCTCTTTACACCTCCCATCACAGACTGAAAAAAGAGCAACGCGTGTTTGAATCTGTGACGAGACATTGGCCTCTAATAAACTAACAGAACCATATTAAAAACTAGTTGGTGCTTTCCTATAAGAAAAGTACAGTTTATTACTATCACTTAACCTCACCGTCATACTTGACCATCGTGAAGCTTGTGAACCGGCTGTCCCCGAGCCCCCGTTGGCCTCTGCATTCTGTTATTTTGACAGAGAGCCAAATAGACTGACAGACGGACAGCCCCCACCACCCTCCTAGTCCAGCTCTCAGCCCCCTTTTGTCTGCCTGTCCTGCAGCATTACCCCTATGGTTGTAGTCTCCTAATTGCTCTGAACCCTGCAGAGATGGGAGACTAAGCACAGGGTTGGGAGGGGTCCTCAGCCATGATGGGGTTCTTTTTTTCCCCCCACTTTTCTCCCTCCCACTGCTCAATTTCTTTCTTTATTTCTTTCTTCTACTCTGAATAGCAATTAAACAAAGTGTGCTCATTTGGCTAAGAAGCTCTTGTACCTCAGCATCCTCCAGTACACGTCTTAATGACACATTCACATCTGGCTCTGCTAGCTGAATTAGATAGTCCCTCACAATAGTTACACGCAGGCATACTGTTGTGCATGTACATATATGGGGCTCATGTAGATCTCTGTAAATGCATCTCATTAGTTTGAAGAATCTGTTTGAGTGAAGCTTTTCTTTTACCATATTACACAGATAATTACTAAGCTTAATCGCCCGCAATTTTGAAATCGGATGTCAAGAATTATTGCAACTATCCTGTACATGCAAGTCTTTTCTCAGTCAACTCACTAAGTTAACCATCTCCTCTCTTCTCAGGCACCTCTGCAGCCACCCCCGGGGTCCTCTGCCTCAGTGGTGGCAGCCGCAGCAGCAGCCGCGGCGGCATCGGGGACGCCCCAGTCACTGAAACTTACCTACCCAGAAACGTTGGACCGCATCAAGGAGGAATTTCAGTTCCTCCAGACTCAATACCACAGGTATTTATTTTTTGCAGATTGTGTGCTGGTGTTTCCCCTCAACTTCCCTTCTGTGTTACTGGGAATTCAGACTAAAAAGAGAACAGTGTTTTAAGAAATGCAAGTGTGTTTGTGGGGGCGTGTTGCTTCAGGTACGGGTGAACGATTCGATACGTTCCAGGAAGGCCGGTTTGGCTAACAGATCTTTGAGTTTTGGGGCGTATCAGATGCTACAACAGTTCACAGCAGTTTATAATTCTCTGGCTCAGGACACAACTCTGGAAAGTCACTGTGACAGTTGTTTTTATGCTGCGTACGGACAACTGAGAGATAGAATTACCCCCTTTAGTTTACAAAGTAATGTTCCAGGAATGTGCACTTGTATACATTTGACCAATACGGTGTGTTGCCATATAACCTTGCATTGACTTGTTGCAGAAGTTGAGCCAGGTTCAACTTTTTTTTTTGCCAGGTGACAAATTTGTTTGTTATGTCGGGCTGTGTCATGTTTTGACAAACGTTCTTACAACGGACTAATAGGGGTATATGCTGGCTACTCTTTTTGCATTACTGTATGGTGTGCTTGATGTGCAGGAATGTGCCCTTTTTTCATGTGGGCTGGTTGTAGAGTCCCACCCTCTCCCTTCTCTGTTCTCGTGGCACACCTTCACAGGGTCCCCACCCCCTCGCTCTTCTCTTCTCAGCCTGCTTTGATTTAGCCAGCCAGAATCTCTCCTCCCTCCCATTCTGTCCCACTTCAAACTTCTTTTGTACGGCCCTTGTCCACAGCCCCTCTAACCCCTGTGGCTACTGCTGCTTCCCTGTACACACAAATGCTTGTGTGTATGTGTGCGTGTGTGTGTGTGTGTGTGTGTCCTTATCCCTCTGTCTCTTCTGATTACCACAAGCTCAACAGTCCAGTCATTCTAGACCTAGTGTTGGAGTCTCACATACAAGTGCTTTTGTAGGAAAAAGGACTGAAAGATGGGACATAAAATCTGTATCAAGATTTATTATCACCTTTACTACAATAATGATTATAAGTATTTTTCCAAACATCAGTGCATGTGGCCTCACTTCTTATGTTTGTCCTGTTTAATTACAGTATGGCTAGTTAAATAATTAAATAATTCTACCCAGTGCCAGCAAATACCTATAGATATGTGTGTTTTCTGTTGATTATTGTCCAGTCCCACATAACTGCATTTTTCAGAGGCTGTGATACTTGCCACCTCCTTTGCTGCGTATAATTTTTGATATATTTGGTCATCTGGATGCACAGTAAATTGTGTCTCAATGTGGGAGAGTGTCTTGTGTAATCTGTGAATCAGAGGACAACCCAAGGTTATTATACAGTGACTATCTTTGGAAAAAGCCCCCCCAAAATAAATATTTGCAGTGCTCCTCTGAACCACCTTTTGAGCAGCACTGACCCAGACAAATCAAGCCATTCAGTGAACATGAGTCACCCCTGGATCTGTTGGTTGAGACAGTGTGATCAGCTCCACTGGCAGCTGTTCAACGTTACACCTCGTGTTACAAAACACCTGGAGCATTGCCCTCTTGCCAAGCACTGGTACTGAGAACTAGGGAGCAGGATAAACAATAAATGAATGACGAGATTAAGAACACGATTGGGAGCAAGAGCGAGCTTGTGATTCCATCTGCATCTTCCAGTTTCGATACCGTGGCGTGCTGTTTTAGCAGGCCTGGTTCATGTTTCCAGGAAGGATTTGTTTTAACTTCTCCAACAGCCTGAGCACAAAAACACAGCAGATTAACACACTGCATATGACTACAGCTGAAAACTGATACTGTAACAATAACTCATAACAATAGCAACAGTCATTATTGGAACAGATTGTGTTATCAGAAGTCTTCACGTATCTGTCGGATGTATGTTTAACCTGGCAGGTAGGTATAAATCTGTTCATTGCAAAAACTGGTGGTTTCGCCATACAAACTTCAGTAAACTAGAGCTGCTGCTCGTGTTGTTTTAGAGACACAGCAACACTGCTGCCATTTTAAACCAACTAATTTTAAGAAGGACTTTCAGTGGTAGTGTGATGGTATGATAGTTTTATCATTATCATCAAGTCAAGTGAATTCTATTTATGAAGCCCAAAATCACAAATGACAAATTTGCCTGAGATTTCCAATTAAAGTAACATTAAAAATTAATACATTTGTAATTTAAGGTTTTGTTTTTCACATTTGAAGAGTTTTGTCTGATGTAAAATAGTAGAACAAATGTATTAACCCTTTAATTGCATTAAACATAAGTTTTATTATGCAACTTTGCATGAATCCTCCTGCACACTACTGCAAAAAAACCCTACCTTCATATATAATGAATAAATGAATTGCAATGCATCATATCCCAATGAATCAAATTATGTTGAATCGCACGGTATTGGAATAACGGTGAATCGTATCATTGCATTGGTACTTGCTTCTTATGTTTAATGTATCAGGTCGTTGTGTGGGCATGCACATCCCTACTTTCCAAATGTAAACCTAAAAAAAGTCAGTGTGCCAGCAGTTTGGAAAGGTCTGAACAGATAGCGATCAGTAGGATTAACAGTGGCCTTGTTTAGTCCTACAGCAGATCCACATCTGATTGCAGGCACCTCCATGTAATCAGACCCACTTGTACACTATTCACACTGCTGGGAAAACTTGACCTGGACGCCCACAGAGCCAGACACACATCAGTGACCCATTCAGACAGACACCCAATCTGACGCATGTGCTTAACACACACTTACACACATGTATGAGCCTCCCTAATTATCCTCGCACACACAAATACATGTTGTCCAGAAATAGCAGGGCTTAGTTGTGTATTTTGTCTGCAGAGAAGGTGGCTGGAATCTGATAGATGTTGGATTAGACGGCAGGAAAGAGACGGAGGGAAGGGATTAGCCCTGATGAGCTGCAACTTTGTGTGTGTGTGTGTGTGTGTGTGGGTGGCATGATGCGTTTCTAAATTTGTGTGTCGCTTGTTGGTTTTGGTGGCATGTGCGTGGTTGGTATGAGGGGATGAGAAAGATTACTAAGGAAGCTAAAGAAAGGGAAGGGTTAATTGATTAAAGGGTCATTGGTTGGTCAGCTGTTGACTTTTGTTGTGTGTGTTAACTATCCAAACAGGCTGTAATCAGCAGACTGAAGGGAGATGGGAGGAGTTGCTGACAGAGGGCTCTCATTACTGTAATTCTCTTTCTATAAACACACACAGCCATATATCAGTCATAATGCAACGTGTGTGTGTGTGTGTGTGTGTGTGTGTGTGTGGCTGCAGAGTAGGGATAGGCCTTTCAGTCGCCTGCTAACTCATCACGATACCGAGCCCCTCCACTCATCCTGCCCACCTACACAGCAGTCGGAATACGCCACATATAACCCATGTGGGCCCAGTGTGTGTGTCATATTTAAAATATTCAGTGTCACATTATCAAACGCTATATTTTACTACAAGACAGAAACTGCTGATAATGGCCAAATGTCCCTCTTTCAGACAGAACACATATTGGACTGGAATAATTTGTCTGTTAATCGATTAGTTGATGACAGAAGATTCTGGTTGATAGTTTGTCATTTATCAGTCAAAAGTGCCAAACATTGGCTGGTTCTAGCTTCACCAATGTGATAACCTGAGTAATGGGCTGCTTCTTTCTGCTTTATTTTGATTATCTTTACGCTTCAGGACATTACTTTCAGCTTTGAGAAATTGTGACTTTAAAAAAAATATATTTTAGAACATTTTATAGACTCAAGAAATTATAATTAATAGCTTGATCATTAATGAAAATAAAAATTTGCAGAGCTAAAAGGTTAGTTGATTAATTGATTTGTCAATCAGTAGATACAATTGGCAGCTACTTTAATAATTGGTTAATCTTTTTCTTTTTTTTTTGAGCAAAAATGCCAAATCGGCTATCCCATCAGTTATAAATTATAGTACATCTAATATCTTTGGGTTTTGAACTGATGGTCGGACAAAACCAGACATATTAAGACGTCAGACTAGGAATTTGTGAGCAGCATTTCTCCCTATTTTCTGATGTTTTATTGGCCTAACAATGAATGAGTTAATTGAAAAAATAACTGATACATTGATTGATGAAATAAATCTCCACTCTGCATTGCAAACATACCAAACAATGTTACATTTCAGTTCTCTCCACACATTTGTGCTTTTTTACTTTTTGTCTTTTTAGACAAGTCACTAACTCTGTTAACGAGGGATGCACAAATCACAATATATATTGGGACTGATAAATTATTGGTCACTAATAGAAAATCTGTATTATGTATAATTCCAATAATGAAATCGCAATAAATCAATTATTAGTTCAAAAAAGAAGTTATTTTTAATTCTTACACAAAGGGTTTGATAGGCTTTATGTTCTATGAGTACATTTGTGACGTTTTTTTGATGAACTTGACTAGAAAAACAAAATACACATTTGAAGAGTTAGAACAGTTTTTTCTGTTGTGTTAATAATAGGCATGTCAGATTTGTTTAGATCAGATCTATGGAATATTAAATCGTCCGTGTTTGTTCACTACATCTTAGTCTTTCTTAGCCTCAGATGTGCATAAACTACAGGTTAACGGTTTTAACATCAACAAGCTTAAATTAAATTTCCATTCAACAAAAATACCTGTTCACCAAAGCTGAGTAGTGTCTGAACTGCACTCAGTAAAAGTCTGGAAGAGGCTAAGAAGCTGTATATCCTCAGAGTACATGTACATGTATCTAGAAAGGCTGTGTGTATACAGATATAATCAGATGAAATAGGCAGTTAAACACAGAGGATTCCTGACTGTCTGTCACTCACGAAATGATGAAATTATATTTGCTTTAAGAAGGGGCTGAGGGTTTGTCGTTTGCATATAGTTATGTGTGCATTTTATTTGTGGGTTGGTTTGTGTGATACAACGTCACCCTGTTTTAATTCTGTCTGTGTGTGTGTGGTAAACATTTATGAAAGAACAGCGAGTCTGGCAGCAGAGCGGGGTACAGTTGGCCTGCTATTGTGCGACGAGATCCCAGTTCTGCTTTGTGTGCGTGTGCGGGAAGTGTACTTGCTCTTGTACACACCCTTGAGAGATGATGAAAGAGTACACAGGCGAGTTGGGTGGGTCCCTCGTGTGCATGTTTGTGTGTGAGTGTGTTTGAAGGGAGAGAGGGAGAAGCTGAAGGTTTCTCCAGTGGAGCAGAGAGGAAGGGTTGATCAATAGTTAATGTGATGTAAAGTGAACAGTCACATACCTGGAGGCTGGCGGGCTAAATGGTCCTGACACTGTAAAGGCACGACACTGGTGCAGTCACTACATGGCTCCCATCTCTGTGTGTGTATGTGTGTGTGTGTGTGTGTGTGTTCTTTACTGGCTGGTAGCTTTGTATTTGTATAGCACTTGTGTCACTTATGATGCTTGTTTGCCAAGACAACGATGGGTTCCAGACTGCAGCACAAGTGATGGCGGAACCAGACTTGGTAGCAGCATGTCAGAATTAATAAGCATCCGTGGGTTTAGTGCCGGGTGATTTGCCTGGAAATGTTTTCACATTCAAAATGTTCATGTTTTCTGATAATGATGTTTATCAGGATGTATGCTATGTTAGATATTAAGTGTAGCATTGAACTTAAGTCTTTTATTGATTAGTCATTTGATAGAAAATTATTTGGTCATTAAGAAAGATGTAAAACATTCTCTGGTTTTAGCTTCTCAAATGTGGCAATTGGCTGCTTTTTCCACCTTTGAGTTTGAGCTGTATTTATTTGGTCTATAAAAGGTCAGAAAATTATTAAAGTC